TTTTGCATTTGATGTTTAGTGGTTAATCCCTGAAGATTATCATGACGGCATCAACTCTGACCTCTTTGTGATTTGATGCCATATTATAAAATGGATATAAATTCACTTGAACGTGTCCAGCGTAGGATGACTAAGTTAATTCCCCAAATTAGAAATCTTTCATATGAAGAAAGATTAACAAAGCTTAAGTTGCATTCACTGGAACGGCGAAGAGTTAGGGGTGACATGGTAGAGGTTTACAAGTGGGTGAATGGACATAACAAAGGAGATATTAATAGGGTATTAAAAGTATCAACACAAGACAGAACACGAAACAATGGGTATAAATTGGATAAGTTTAGATTTTGGAAAGACTTGGGTAAATACTGGTTCAGTAACAGGGTTGTTGATTTGTGGAACCAATTACCGCGTAACATGCTGGAGGTGGGGTCCCTCGATTGTTTCAAGCGCGGGTTGGACAAGTATGTGAGTGGGATTGGGTGGTTATAAATAGGAGCTGCCTCTGCTATGCGAACTTCATAGTTTGTTTTTGCTTTCTTTATCTCTTTTTTAGTATTTCTAACCAGTTGTACGAATTCCTGTTCTAAACTGACTTCCCCATTCTTAATCCTTTTGTACCACGCTCTCTTTTTACCAATAAGGTTCTTCAGATCCTTTGTTATCCACTTTGGATCATTAGTATTCGATCTATTCAATTTATATGGTATACTACATTCCTGGGCTTCGCTTAGAATATTTTTAAATAGGTTATATTTTGAGTCCACATCGAAAACACCTTTTACGTCACCTATCGCTGGGTTCACGTCTAGCTCTAAGACCGGCCCACACCCCATACCCAAGACTTTCCAATTTGTTTGACTCAATAAATTTCTTAGGTTATTGAAATTAGCTTTTCGAAAATCAGGTACTTTAACAGAATTTTTTCCTACAGATCTACTCCATTCTATGCTAAATCTGAGTTCTTTGTGATCACTGTTCCCTAGCTCACTCCCTATTTCTATGTCCTTAATTTGTGTTTCCCTGTTAGTTAACACTAAACTAAAAATATTATTTTCCCGTGTTGGTTCCTTAATGTGTTGCGTAAGAAAGCAATCGTCAATTAATTCTAGAAAATCTTCTGCTTCACTATTCCATGTTTTGTTCAACCAGTTTATTCCACTAAAATTAAAGTCACCCATGACATAAATACTGTTAGATCTAGATGCTCTAGATATTGCATCTTATAGATGCTTTGCTTCCATTCTGTCTAAATTTGGAGGCCTATATATAACTCCTATTATAATATTATTTGCTGTTTCGTTAAATTCTATCCAAATAGTTTCTGTGTGTGGCTCAGACTTGATTTCCTCTTTGAGACTACATTTCAAATTGTCCCTAACGTATATGGCTACTCCCCCTCCTCGTCTAATATATCTATCTGTGTGTCTGTGTGAAATAGTTTAAATCCATTTATTTGATATTCAGCTAATAGTTCTTTTAGAGCTACTGTTTGTGCTGCTGACTGTGGTGCTTGTAGTGCTACTGTTTGTGCTGCTGACTGTGGTGCTTGTAGTGCTACTGCTTGTGCTGCTGACTGTGGTGCTTGTAGTGCTGCTGCTTGTGCTGCTGACTGTGGTGCTTGTAGTGCTACTGCTTGTGCTGCTGACTGTGGTGCTTGTAGTGCTGCTGCTTGTGCTGCTGACTGTGGTGCTTGTAGTGCTACTGCTTGTGCTGCTGACTGTGGTGCTTGTAGTGCTACTGCTTGTGCTGCTGACTGTGGTGCTTGTAGTGCTACTGCTTGTGCTGCTGACTGTGGTGCTTGTAGTGCTGCTGCTTGTGCTGCTGACTGTGGTGCTTGTAGTGCTGCTGCTTGTGCTGCTGACTGTGGTGCTTGTACAGCTACTGCTTGTGCTGCTGTCTGTGGTGCTTGTAGTGCTACTGCTTTTGCTGCTGACTGTGGTGCTTGTAGTGCTACTGCTTTTGCTGCTGACTGTGGTGCTTGTAGTGCTGCTGCTTGTGCTGCTGACTGTGGTGCTTGTAGTGCTACTGCTTGTGCTGCTGACTGTGCTGCTTGTAGTGCTACTGCTTGTGCTGCTGACTGTGGTGCTTGTAGTGCTGCTGCTTGTGCTGCTGACTGTGGTGCTTGTAGTGCTACTGCTTGTGCTGCTGACTGTGGTGCTTGTAGTGCTACTGCTTGTGCTGCTGACTGTGGTGCTTGTACAGCTACTGTTTGTGCTGCTGTCTGTGGTGCTTGTAGAGCTACTGCTTTTGCTGCTGACTGTGGTGCTTGTAGTGCTGCTGCTTGTGCTGCTGACTGTGGTGCTTGTAGTGCTACTGCTTGTGCTGCTGACTGTGGTGCTTGTAGTGCTACTGCTTGTGCTGCTGACTGTGGTGCTTGTACTGCTACTGCTTGTGCTGCTGACTGTGGTGCTTGTAGTGCTACTGCTTGCGCTGCTGGCTGTGGTGCTTGTAGAGCTACAACTTGTGCTGCTGACTGTGGTGCTTGTAGAGCTACTGCTTGTGCTGCTGACTGTCGTGCTTGTAGTGCTACTGCTTGTGCTGCTGACTGTGGTGCTTTTAGAGCTACTGCTTGTGCTGCTGACTGTGGTGCTTATAGTGCTCCTGCTTGTGCTGCTGACTATGGTGCTTGTAGTGCTACTGCTTGTGCTGCTGACTATGGTGCTTGTAGTGCTACTGCTTGTGCTACTGACTGTGGTGCTGACTGTGGTGCTTGTAGTGCTGCTTCTTTTGCTGCTGACTGTGGTGCTTGTAGTGTTGCTGCTTGTGCTACTGACTATGGTGCTTGTAGTGCTACTGCTTGTGCTGCTGACTGTGGTGCTTGTAGTGCTGCTGCTTGTGCTGCTGACTGTGGTGCTTGTAGTGCTACTGCTTGTGCTGCTGACTGTGGTGCTTGTAGTGCTGCTGCTTGTGCTGCTGACTGTGGTGCTTGTAGTGCTGCTGCTTGTGCTGCTGACTGTGGTGCTTGTAGTGCTGCTGCTTGTGCTGCTGACTGTGGTGCTTGTTGTGCTAATGCTGCTGCTTGTGCTGCTGACTGTGGTGCTTGTAGTGCTACTGCTTGTGCTGCTGACTGTAGTGCTTGTTGTGCTAGTGCTGCTGCTTGTGCTGCTGACTGTGGTGCTTGTAGTGCTGCTGCTTGTGCTGCTGACTGTGGTGCTTGTAGTGCTGCTGCTTGTGCTGCTGACTGTGGTGCTTGTAGTGCTACTGCTTGTGCTGCTGACTGTGGTGCTTGTAGTGCTGCTGCTTGTGCTGCTGACTGTGGTGCTTGTAGTGCTGCTGCTTGTGCTGCTGACTGTGGTGCTTGTAGTGCTGCTGCTTGTGCTGCTGACTGTGGTGCTTGTAGTGCTGCTGCTTGTGCTGCTGACTGTGGTGCTTGTTGTGCTAATGCTGCTGCTTGTGCTGCTGACTGTGGTGCTTGTAGTGCTGCTGCTTGTGCTGCTGACTGTGGTGCTTGTTGTGCTAGTGCTGCTGCTTGTGCTGCTGACTGTGATGCTTGTAGTGCTGCTGCTTGTGCTGCTGACTGTGATGCTTGTAGTGCTGCTGCTTGTGCTGCTGACTGTGATGCTTGTAGTGCTGCTGCTTGTGCTGCTGACTGTGATGCTTGTAGTGCTGCTGCCTGTGCTGCTGACTGTGGTGCTTGTAGTGCTGCTGCTTGTGCTGCTGACTGTGATGCTTGTAGTGCTGTGCTGCTGACTGTAGTGCTTGTGCTGCTTACTGTGGTACTTGTAGTACTGCTTGCTTGTGCTGCTGTGCTGTGGTACTTGTAGTGCTGCTGCTTGTGCTGCTGACTGTGATGCTTGTAGTGCTGCTGCTTGTGCTGCTGACTGTGGTACTTGTAGTACTTCTGCTTGTGCTGCTGACTGTGGTACTTGTAGTACTTCTGCTTGTGCTGCTGACTGTGGTGCTTGTAGTGCTGCTGCTTGTGCTGCTGACTGTGGTACTTGTAGTACTTCTGCTTGTGCAGCTGACTGTGGTGCTTGTAGTGCTGCTGCTTGTGCTGCTGACTGTGGTGCTTGTAGTGCTGTTGCTTGTGCTGCTGACTGTGGTGCTTGTAGTGCTGCTGCTTGTGTGGTACTGATGCTGCTTGTGCAGCTGACTGTGGTACTTGTGCTTGTGCTGCTGAGTGCTCTGCTTGTGCTGCTGACTGTGGTGCTTGTAGTGCTGCTGCTTGTGCTGCTGACTGTGGTGCCTGTAGTGCTGCTGCTTGTGCTGCTGACTGTTACTTGTAGTGCTGCTGCTTGTGCTGCTGACTGTGGTGCTTGTAGTGCTGCTGCTTGTGCTGCTGACTGTGGTGCTTGTAGTGCTGCTGCTTGTGCTGCTGACTGTGGTGCTTGTAGTGCTGCTTGCTGACTGTGTGCTTGTTGTGCTGCTGCTTGTGCTGCTGACTGTGGTGCTTGTAGTGCTACTGCTTGTGCTGCTGACTGTGGTGCTTGTAGTGCTACTGCTTGTGCTGCTGACTGTGGTGCTTGTAGTGCTACTGCTTGTGCTGCTGACTGTGGTGCTTGTAGTGCTGCTGCTTGTGGCAACTGTTGCAATACTGGCGACTTATTTTCTCTCCATTTCATCATATTGGTAATTATCCAACACATATATATGTAATTTTTATTTCTATAGAATTTCCAAATGATTGCCTACGACATTTACCTGTGAGTTCCAAACACAATTGTATCTGGTACCATTCTCTGTCTCATTCCTTGTACCAGGTACCTGCACCTCTAACTATATGTTGCCTGGTACCTCTCTCATCTCCTTCCATGGACCAGGTACCTGCATCTCTAACTATGTGTTGCCTAGTACCTCTCTCATCTGCTACCAAAGACCAGGTACCTGCACCTATAACTATGTGTTGGCTGGTACCTCTCTCATTTCTTACCATGGACCAGGTACCTGCACCTCCAACTATGTGTTGCCTGGTATCTCTCTCATCTCCCACCATGGACCAGGTACCTGCACCTCTAACTATGTGTTGCCTGGTACCTCTCTCACCATCTACTATGGACCAGGTACCAGCTGCTGGTGGACGGGTACCAGGGAAGGAGTACCATGGGAGACGTCCTTGTACAACATCACAACCTCAGTGGAATGAAGTTCTCCACCATCGACAGAGACAATGATGGCCTGAAAGGTAAGTTTGGTCTTCACAGATGACGTCGTGGGGCGAGGATATTGTCTTTATTGTCCGCCATTAACAATATATTCCTGTAGGAACTATTGTTAACTTTCTCCTTTAAGGGACCATTTGTATAATATAATAAAGTTAATGTTATCACTTGATGATTATATTAGTGCACGACGGGGATAATGACCTTAACAAACACCTGAACCAGGAAGACCATTGTTTGTTCATCCTGGCTTGTGCACTCACCTATTTGTGCTTGCGGGGGTTGAGCTTTGGCTCTTTGGTCCCGCCTCATGCCTGTGTGTGTGTGTATGTGTGTGTGTTTGTGTGTACGTGTATGTTATTGTTTGAGTGCCTGAGTGTGTGTGTTTGAGTACCTGAGTGTGTACTCACCTATTTGTGCTTGCGGGGGTTGAGCATTGGCTCTATGGTCCCGCCTCTCAACTGTCAATCAACTGGTGTACAGATTCCTGAGCCTACTGGGTTCTTTCATATCTGCATTTAAAACTGTGTATGGATTCAGCCTCCACTAAGTCACTGCCTAATGCATTCCACCTGTTAACTCTGACACTGAAAAAAGTTCTTTCTAACGTCGCTGTGGCTCATTTGGGTACTCAGTTTCCACCTGAGTCCCCTTGTTCGCGTACCACCAGTGTTGAATAGTTTATCCTTGTCTACCCTGTCAATACTTCTGAGGATTTTGTAGATAGTGATCATGTCTCTCCTTACTCTTCTGTCTTCCAGTGTCGTAAGGTGCATCTCTCGCAGCCTTTCCTCGTAACTCATGCCTCTTAGTTCCGGGACTATTCTAGTGGCATACCTCTGAACTTTTTCCAGCTTCGTCATGTGCATGACAAGGTACGGGCTATATGCTGGGGCCGCATACTCCAGGAATGGTCTTACATATGTGGTATACAAGATTCTGAATGATTCCTTACACAGGTTCCTGAATGCTGCTCTAATTTCAGCCAGCCTCGCATATGCCGCAGAGGTAATTCTTTTTATGTGGGGTTCAGGAGACAGGTTTGGGGTGATATCAATTCCTAGATCTTTTTCTCTGTCCGTTTCATGAAGTACTTCATCTCCTATCCTGTATCCTGTGTCTGGCCTTTTGTTTCCGCCACCTAGTCTCATTACTTTGCATTTACTCGGATTGAACTTGAGCAGCCATATGTTGGACCATTCATTCAGTCTGTCCAGGTCATCTTGTAGCCTCCTACTATCCTCCTCTGTTTCCATCCTCCTCATTTTGTTTATCTCATCAACAAACATTGAGAGAAACGAGTCTGTACCATCTGGGAGATCATTTACATATATCAGAAACAGTATAGGTCCAAGGACTGACCCCTGCGGGACCCCTGCGGGACTCCACTTGTGACGTCTCGCCAATCTGAGACCTCACCCCTCGCAGTGACTTGCTTTCTTCTATTGCTTAGGTACTCCCTTATCTAATGGAGTACCTTCCCTTTCACTCCAGCCTGCATCTCCAGCTTTTTCACTAGCCTCTTGTGTGGTACTGTATCAAAGGCTTTCTGGCAATCCAAAAATATGCAGTCTGCCCTTCCCTCTTTTTCTTGACTGATTTTTGTTGCCTTGGTCGTAGAATTCAATTAACCCTGTGAGGCAGGACTTATCATCCCTGAACCCATGTTGATGCTGTGTTACAAAGTTCCTTCGCTCCAGATGTTCCACTAGCTTTCTTCGCACAATCTTCTTCATCAGCTTGCATGGTATGCAGGTTAGGGACACTGACCTGTAGATCAGGGCCTCCTGTCTATCCCCTTTCTTGTATATCAGGACTACATTAGCTGTTTTCCAAATTTATGGCAGTTCCGCTGTTGCCAGTGATTTGTTATACACTATGCAGAGAGGCAAGCACAGTGTTTCTGCTCCTTCCTTTAGTATCCAAGGGGAGATTCCATCTGGGCCTAAAGCCTTTGTCACATCCAACTCTAGTAACAACTTCCTTACTTCCCCACTGGTATCCCCTCTCTTATCTCTCTAATTTCTCCTTCCTCTAAGGTGAAGACCTCCTGAAATTTCTTATTCAGTTCCTCACACACTTCATTGTCATTTGTAGTGAATCCTTCTGCCTCTATCCTTAATTTCATTACCTGTTCCTTTACTGTTGTTTTTCTCATGATTTGGCTGTGCAAAAATTTAGGTTGAGTCTTTGCCTTGCTCGCAATGTCATTTTCTTATTGTCTTTCTGCCTCTCTTCTCATCCTGACATATTCGTTCCTGGAACTCTGATATCTTTCTCTGCTCTCAAGTGTCCTGTTTTTCCTATAGTTTCTCCACGCGCTCTTACTTTGCTGCTTAGTTAGCCTACATCTCTGATTAAACCATGTTTTTTTTTTATCTTCATTTCGTTGTCTTCCCTTTGGACTGGGACAAACTTGTTCGTTGCCTCCTAGAACTTCTGCGTGATGTAGAAGTGTGTTGTGCGTTTGTGTGTACGTGTATGTTATTGTTTGAGTGCCTGAGTGTGAGTATGTTTGTCTTTTCGTGTATGTTATTGTTTGAGTGCCTGAGTGTGTTTGTGTGTACGTGTATGTTATTGTTTGTGTGCCTGAGTGTGTGTACTTACCTAGTTGTACTTACCTAGTTGTGGTTGCAGGGGTTGAGCTCTGGCTCTTTGGTCCCGCCTCTCATCTGTGAATCAACTAATGTACAGGTTCCTGAGCCAACTGGGCTCTTGCTCATATCTACACTTGAAGCTGTGTATGGAGTCAGCCTCCACCACATCACTTAATAATGCAGTCCATTTGTCTACTACTCTGACACTGAAAAAATTCTTTCTAACGTCTCTATGGCTCATTTGAGCACTCAATTTCCACCTGTGTCCCCTAGTGCATGTGTCCCTTGCGTTAAATAGTCTATCTTTATCTACCCTATCATTTCCTCTGAAAATCTTGTATGTGGTGATCATGTCCCCTCCTCTAACTCTTCTGTCTCCCAGCGACGTGAGGTTTAATTCCCGTAGCCTCTTCTCGTAGCTTATACCCCCTCAGTTAGCTTAATTCCCCTAGCGACCTCTCCTTGCTCTATTGTGAAGAAGTCCTGGAACCTCTTTTTTTTTTTAGATATATACAAGAGTTGTTACTTTCTTGTACAGCCACTAGTACGTGTAGCGTTTCGGGCAGGTCCCTGGAATACGATCCCCGCCGCAAAGAATCGTTGTTACAACCAAGTACCCATTTTACTGTTGAGTTAAACAGAGGCTACAGTTAAGGATTTGTGCCCAGTAAATCCTTCCCGGTCAGGATACGAACCCATGACAAAGCTCTCGCGGAACTCCAGGCGAGTGTCTTACCACTAAACCACGGAGACTGGTTGTTGAACTCCACATGAACTCCTGTTGAGTTCTTCACACACCTCTTTGTCATTCTCTGTGTACCTGTCTTCACCCATTTTAAGTTTCATCATCTGTTCCTTCATTGTTGTTTTCCTTCTGATGTGACTGTCTAGTAGCATTGGTTCGGTCTTGGCTTTATTAGCTATATCATTTTCATACCTTTTCTCAGCTTCTCTTCTCATATTAACATACTCGTGCCTGGTTCTCTGGTATCTCTCTCTGCTTTCTGGTGTTCTGTTATTTCAGTAGTTCCTCCATGCTCTTTTGTTCAGTTCCTTTGCTTTCATACATGCCCTATTAAACCACGGCTTCTTCTTTTGTTCTCGGTTTTTTCCTATCTGGCTGGGATAAACCTGTTTACTGCCTCCTGACACTTTTGGGTGACATAGTCCATCATATTTTGTACGGACTTAGTTCTGAGCTCTTTATCCCATGGTATATCCCTTAGGAATTTTCTCATCTCATAATTTCTCTTTCAGTACGAAAACCCTTTGTTTCCCAGTTCTTTTTTTTCGGGGGGAGATAATTCCTAGCTCTACCAGTTACTCAAAGATCAATACACTGTAATCATACATTCCCAAGGGGGTTTCCAACTTAACTTCCCTTATATCCGAGTCATTTATTGTAAATATCAGATCAAACATAGCTAGTTCATCCCCTCCTCTCATTCCTGTCAGTCCATTTATGTTTTGGCTTAGAAAGTTTCTTGTTGCTACGTCCAGCAGCTTAGCTCTCCATGTGTCCAGTCCTCCATGTGGGTTTCTGTTTTCATAATCTATCTTCCCGTGGTTGAAGTCTCACATGATTAGTAGTCTGGATCCGTTCCTGATTGCTACAGAAGCTACTCTATTATATTGATGGTGGCCATGTTGTTCCTATCATATTCCTGTCTGGGGTCTTCTGTCGTTTGGTGAGGGGTTATATATGACTACTACTTTAATTGTTTGTCCTCCAATTCCTATGGTAATACTGCACATACTGCACTATTATCCACATACTGCGTCCTCCACATACTGCAGATGACTCTTCCTTTTTAAAATAACCTCCGTGGTCTCGTTTGCAAACACTATCTTTATCAGTCGGTCTCTGTCCCTGTTGTAGTTGCCCAACCTGAAAACCTTCTCAATGTTTTGTTCAGCCCCCTTCCATCTCTAATCCCTTCAGTATCCCATTTACTGCCTCTCTGTCCTTGCTATTCCATTCTTGCCTATTGGATGCTTCCTGTTCTTTGATGCCTACAGTTACCACTGATCATTTTCTTTCCAGCAGCTGACTGGTGCACCTTGCTACTTCCTGTGAGGTAGCTGCTTGCATGGCTACCTTCCTCACTGTGGCCATTGCTTCTGAGCTCTTTCTCAGTATTTCTGCAAATGTTTCAGGTAGAGAGGCATTTCGTTCCAATGCACAAAATCCACCTTCCCTTTGGATGATTATCTGATGCTCAGCCTCATTATTTTTCTTTGTGAGGGATTTGATCTCCACCTTTGCTGCTGTCAGCTCACTTTGCAGGTTGGTAATTGTATTCTTCATTTCATGCATCTCCTTCCTGAATTACCCCCAAACTAGGGAGTTTGGGAGTAATTTGGGATGCACCTTTGGGAGTAATTGGGAGTAATTTGGGTTTGGGAGTTTGGGACGCACCTGTGTC